AAAAAAAAAAAAGAAAAGAAACAGCCATGTTTTGTCACCAATGATAACATGGCCAGGACCATTGTCTTGCCTCTCCAAAAGGTCTTGGCAAACTCCAACTCTCCTTTGCTTTTGTTCATTGGTGAGCTCCTTTGGGACCATTTTTATACACACTTTTTTCATGCCAGGATTTTTAGTTAAGATTTTCCTGTTTCTTTACTTGGTCTGCTATACTTCTCACAGTCAGCTAATGATTTCCGTGCAGAATATTTTCATCCCCTCTGCTTATCACTCTGAGCACTCTGGCTGCCCTGACCTCTTTTCATTAGTAAGGCTTTTTCTCCCTCAGAAAAACGTTTAATCCATTGTGCATTGTTGTTTTCTTCATGGCTTTATCCTCATAAACATGGACTAACATGTCTCTGATTTCACTTCCACTATTGCCAGGTTTAACAAGAAATTAGTTGTTGCTCTAATTCAAGCTCTGACATTTTTGGGCCGACACACAAAAACATGCAACAACAATAATGAACGCCACTGAGCAAGACACTGCCACACATCAACATGATCACAGCTGTGAGACACTAATACACTGTGTTGTTTGCACAGTGCTGCCAACAGAAGGGCATGGTGGCAAGTTTATGAACTTAATCATCACATCTTGTATACATTTCTCTTTATGTTTCTATAAGTTATTCTGCAATTTATGTTTTCTGTGTTTTGCTTAATAGGTTTGATTTTTAAAATTGAAAACCAATAAACACTATAATATTTTGATTATGTAACTAGTATTCACTGCAGAACCAAATAGTGTGATTGGATCAACAGAAAAAATGCAGCACTGCATGCTTTGACATGGCAGCCTGACAGGTAGGACTCTCATCTGCAGATACACGTTCACCCAAAAGAAAGTGCTCACTGTGGCAGTGTCTGTCATACAGAATATCAGGAACAACACATGTGCACCAGCAGGGATTAGGTGAGGATGTTGTGGTGCACTAGCAGTTATGGTCATTGTAGGGAGTGATCTTGGGTGTAGTGGTGGAAACTGATAATCCTAGTTTAAATCTTTAGTTTCCATTTTCTTTCTAGTACTTATTACCAGGTACCCCAAACCTGAATAGGCCAAATTTAGTAATTTGGTTCTAAGTAAATTGATGCTTAAAAAATTAGGACAGCAAAAGGTAAATTATCTCTCAATCCTAAAGATGTGTGTGAGCCAGCCTTGCTCTGGGTCTTTTTTTTGTTTGTTTGTTTGTTTTTTTGAGACAGAGCTTCAAGCTGTCCCCCTGGGTAGAGTGCCGCGGCATCACAGCTCACAGCAACCTCCAACTCCTGGGCTCAAGCGAGTCTCCTGCCTC